TTCATATTCTACTTATTGTATTGTAGATGCCGATATTTTTTGACATAAAGTTGAACAAAATTATGGAATTTAACTTAAGACAAAACTCACATTAGAAGAGCGGAAATAAACAGAGGATATTCACACAACCTTATTCTCTGGCCAATTTTTTTTCGTAAAATCCCCACATTTATTTGTTGCCACGTCATAAAAGTCCTGCTATTGGATACTCCATTAGACATGCCCTGACGGTCTGTTTGAAGCTTCACTATTAATTCAACCGGCAAAGCAGCAAAACATGTGAAAGACTAGGACTAAATTGTAGATGTACGCAACAAATTAACTTCGAGAGCACCTGAAAAAGTGCATGCTGCTGGTGCGTAAGGCCTGGTGGCAACAGAAAGCAAAGACCAAAGTTGGATGTAGTACTCCTACACTAACAACAGAGAGCAAATACCTTTTGCCAAAAGGAAAAGGAAAACCTGGCAGAGCCGTTCTTTGCTCTCCTCCCAAGTTCCAATGGAAATTTTGTTTACTCAATCTTGATCACGAGGCCCCTATTATAAACCATGTAGATCTTGTGTCAACCTATGCTCAAAAAGCATCGTCAAAGCTTTTGCCACCGAGCAACCTCGTCCTTACGTACGTTAAACACCTTGATTTAACAATTTATTTGAAATATCCTAAACCTACAAACCCAACATACCAACTGCAATCTACGGACGGTCTCTCCCCAACTAATCTCCCCTTTCCCCATTTTCAGGGAGGGGCTCGCCATAATTTCTGACCACCTAAATCCAATCACATAAAGCAACTTCAGTCCTTATGTTCTCTTTTTTCCGATAAAGGGCGTTCTTTATTACTCATAATGTCACATCAAGTGGATACAAACACAACGAGTACACCCGGCCTCTGCACAATTAGGAGGCACACAGCCAAAAAGAAAGAGAAACAGGACACACAGTGGTCAAGGCGAGGCAAAGGACCCATTGCAGCAAAACATCAACTACTATCACTGCCTTCGACAACATCCGGACAACGAGCAGGTTCCCAAAACAACAACATCTTCAACAAGGAAATGATGCATGAACACTGTCATCGTCGGATCGAACCACATAGGCCAGATCATGGGTTTTCACCCAGAAGAGAAGGACCGAGTGATCTCCAAATTATGCCTTCAACACGAGAGCTAAACAATGCTGCCATGTACAAGCAATGAAGGCCAGACCTAGGGTTTTCACCCCCAGAACTCAGGACCTGGTTTTCACCACCATAGGTGAAGTCCTCTATATTGGTGCCATCAACTTGCCAGTAAAGAAGTCATGTTGCAATGTCCAAGTCAGCACCGGAATCATGGATCAAAGTGAACACCACACATCGGGCAATCCAAATCACGTGCACAACCACAAAGCATTCATCACCATCGGGTCGAGCTACCCGAGAGCCGCCTAACCAACACCCAACCGAGGCACAGCAGGAATCACCGCCCAAATGCCCACCAATGGCGAAATGCAACCCGAAAGCCGCCAAGAAAAACCAGAACCGCAATCACCCATCCAATGTGTCGAGCAACTTCAGAGCACCACCATCGGCCACCAGCAAGCCACCACAGGCTATATCCCGCCGGATCCAAACCACCTGTGATGCACACCACCAAATGTGACTGAGCTCGTGCCAGTTGTGCCTCATGTCGTGAAGAACACCACCGGTGGCGCTGCCTTCGACCCTGTCCATGTACCAAATTGATGCAGGAGCGCACATGGCACGAGATCCAGGTGGGCACCCCACATATTGATGGCTGAAGTTGAACGGTTGTGCCCCGTCACAGCCGTCAGCACCAACGGTCTCCTTCGCGGTGACGCAGGAAAGACGACGATGGTTGTAGACTAGGACCAGAGGCGGGTGTGTCCTCCGAAGTCGCCCTAGGGAGCGAGCCATACGTATTTTTTTTGCGAAAATGATCTAAATCTATTCTAAGGATTCAAAGAAGTACCAAGCAATACAAACATAATAAAAATTAAATCAGAGAACCTGCATTACCAGAAGAACCCGCATGACCTAACACAAACATATAGTGTAGTTACTCCTTCACCACTCTTCGTCGTGAGGGGAATAGTTGAGCTCAATCCCCTCGAGGTAAGTTGAGTGCTAGCCTCCCTGCCTCACTAACAAGGGGAATAACAAGAAGATCTTATCAGACTTTGATCGAAATCTGACTAGGCTCCACAGTGGACGCCAAAATTTAATGACTAATGCGCCACAGATCCAATATGCATAGAGTCTTGGATGGAAGTACATGGATGTGTGGTGCCCGAAGAGATCTCGTTGGCAGTGATGGTGACATCATAGTTTTACCCAGGTTCAGGCTAGTGGGTAATAAGACTACGTCCTACCTATTTATTCTTATTGATCAACGAGAGGATTACAATGGTATTTCTATTATCTGCTTTGCTAGGTTACGGGTGGGGTGTAGGATTCCCACATGACCTTACTCCTTGGCGGGGGTTTGGATGTCCCTCGTAGTTTGGCGAGGGCAGGTAGTTTAGTAACTCTCTTTGGGGAATACGATATGATCAGGTGATCCAGAAAATATAGGAAGCATATCTCACAGAACTGTTAGTTTCCAATATATCTCATCCATCTGTATCCCATTCGAGTGTCGGCGTGGCACGACACATGACTCAAGAGCCCTTAAACATTCTTCTGTTTGACATGGTCCGGACACGTCTGTAGGGCATCCTCCTTCGAGTAGTTGTTATTACTCACCGATTAGGGGTGCCCGAGTGGGGACCATAGTCACCTGGTTGGGAGAGCACAAGCATACTTCACTTCCAATAATTTTCCAAGAGGAATAACAAGAAGAAAATACGATCCAACTGTATTCTAGAAACTTGACCAAACTTACACACATAAATATATGAGTGGTGGTTATGTAATTGTTGGCAAAGTTTCAGTAACTGTCACCTGTGAGTCGTTGTACTTGATATTTCGTAGGAAAACAAAAGGTTTGGATATCATCCAATAATTTAATTAGACACAAGGCTAGTTGGGAAAGAAACAAATGTGATCCTTTGCGGTTCCGTGGCTGCTATAGCTCTCTGCCTTCTCCATGTACGGCTAAGTTGCAGTGTACAACAATTTCGCTGTAGTAAATCCATGCAATTGGGCAGAAACTGAGAGAGAAAGAGTGTACCGAGAAGGTAGGCACTTTGTGTCATGCATGCTGATGATTATCTTGTCATTTTTTTAATGCGGCCCCATGACTGTGATTGACCAGGAAGAGTTTGTGTGTGCCGCTGGATTCAAACGTCATGAGGCATATGCACCTTTAACTGGCTCCCAGCTTCCTTGCTAGCACTATATAAACCCATCCAAGCTCTAATTCCCTTCAAGCTTTCAAGCAACAACATCAAGTTGTAAGCTGGTAGTTCTTCTCTCCCCATTGAACCATCTATACAAGGGACAAGGAATCTTGAAACATAACTATCATCCTAGCTAGCTAGCTTGGTAGAACTATCTCATTGTGATCTGCTCATCAACTCCAATTAAGATCTTGCAATGGGTGGCCTCTCTCTTCAGCACCCATGGGCCTTTGCCTTTGGCCTCCTAGGTATATTGCTTTATACCTCAATAGATGCTTTTAAAACTTCTATCTTCTAAGAGTTCTTATTTCTGGCCATTTATTTTTTTTCCATCTTTGTTGGCTATGGTTTGCGAGAACTAATAATCACTCCCAAAACTAATATTTCCTCCTCTGGTTGTATTCTGAGCATCCAATATAAATACATACTCACTCTGTCCCAAAATAAGTGTCTCAACTTTGTACTAACTTTAGTACAAAGTGGTACTAAGCTTGAGACACTTATTTTGAGACGGAGGGAGTACATATTTAGCTAGTTAGTGCGGATTGCACCATGGGATGCATGTGATCCTTCCTGTTTTGTGTAAGCTAGTTAGTGATCCTTCTTCCTCTTTTGTCCCCCACCAGCATATTTTTGCTATTCTTTTCTTTCACCAATAGTGATCCATCTTCCTCGTCCCCCAATCTCCTCCCCCAATTATTTTGAGGTGTAAATAAAGTATGTTGGTGCCAAACAAAAAAAGGTGAGAAAAGGGAACGACATATGTAAACTAAAGGTCTCTAAGTTATACATTTTCGTATGGTGTAGCGTGACACCTCACCGGCATCACCCACACAAGAAAGCTAGCCATTAAGTGGGGATTGTGTATCGTACGTACGTGTCTCCTTGTTCTCGCTGGCTAACTGTCGTATTGCTTTCTGCCTGCAGGCAACGTCATCTCCTTCATGACCTACCTGGCCCCACTGTAAGCCTCTTGATCAGACTCAACATCGTTTCTCTTTCTAGCTTAGTTTTAGGAGAAATTAATGGTGCATGGGGGCATGTGATGCAGGCCAACTTTTTACCGGATCTACCGGAGCAAGTCGACGCAGGGATTCCAGTCGGTCCCTTATGTGGTGGCGCTCTTCAGTGCGATGTTGTGGATCTACTACGCGCTGCTCAAGTCTGATGAGTGCCTCCTCATCACCATCAACTCCGCTGGCTGTGTCATTGAGACCATCTACATCATCATCTACCTCACCTACGCGCCAAAGCAAGCCAAGGTACTGGATGGCAACTCAGCTGCACATTTTTCCTTCGAAAAGAGGATAATTTTTGGCCTCTACATCAATTGATGCATACAATCATATATTATTAGATCCATGCAATAAATGCAGCTGGCTAACATGAAAATATGCGCATGGATGCAGCTCTTCACAGCAAAGATCCTCCTCCTCCTGAATGTGGGCGTGTTCGGGCTTATCCTCCTCCTCACCCTGCTCTTGTCGGAGGGCGAGAAGCGTGTCGTCATGCTCGGGTGGGTTTGTGTCGGCTTCTCCGTCAGTGTCTTCGTCGCGCCCCTCAGCGTTATCGTGAGCAACTGAGCATCCTCCCTCTAGAGTGTTTGTTTGTTGATCCATGAGATATTCTTACAAGTGTATTATGTCTTGACGTTTGCAGCGCCTTGTGGTGCGTACCCGGAGCGTGGAGTTCATGCCCTTTTCCCTCTCCCTCTCCCTCACCGTCAGCGCTGTCGTCTGGTTCCTCTATGGCCTCCTCATCAAGGACAAATATGTTGCTGTACGTGAACAACACAAATAAAATCTCTCGGTTCATCATAACTTAGCTTTCCTTTTTCTTTAATTGTTGGTGTTGATCTGCATGCAGCTGCCCAACATTCTTGGGTTCGCATTCGGTGTGATTCAAATGGGGCTCTACGCGCTCTACCGCAAAGCCACGCCTACACCGGCGCCCAAGCAGGTGCACGATGATGATGCAGTCAAGGTGCCCGAGCATGTCGTCAACATCTCTAAGCTTGGCCCAGCGGCTGCCATCGAGCTCAACACGCACAATCCCATCGATTCAGGGATGCCACTGCCGATGAAGGAAAACAGCTTGGCCTGCGCCAATGACGAGACCAAGGGGGGCGTTTACAAGGTTGACAAGGCAACCCACGTCGAGCAAGTCTAGGGAGTCATGCGTTCATGCCTAGGATGTATGCGTGCACTTAAGCCATGACGGGCTGGGCTCGAGCAAAGAAGCTATAGGGAGAGAAATGCGTGCACGTGGGCTTGCGATTTCCACTATCACGTTCAATTAGATGCTCGAACCAGTTATTTTATCCTAGTCGTATTCATTAGTATGTTCATCTACCACTTTCATTGTGGCCGTATGCATCGTTTTGATGCAGAGGCCCGGGATCTCCCTCTTTTCTAAAAAAAAATCTACCACTTCCATGTAATGGTCTTATTATAAAAGTTGCCATTTTCTCATGAAGCATAGCACGGAAGTAGAAGCATTGCAAAATTGCAAATTTTGAATTGATTTCTAATCTATTGTGTTCTTGTTAGAGAATGCGGCCACTCGGATTCGTACCGAGATGCTTGAGCATTAATTCCTAAGAGCAGTGTGTCTAGCAATTTCACCATGGTGGCTAACTTAAAATAATAACTGAAAAGAATAATAGCTATTATCTCGCGAATCGTCGATATTGGAAAATGTCCATAAAATTTAGGGAACATTAGAGTTTTCATTAAAATAGACTTCGTTTGGTAGTATCGATCCGGCAAAGAACTGATGAAATGGTCATTTGTGTCTTGTAAAGGTTTGTTGTGTTCTGGCTGCAAGTTACCTTTGATTCCAAGCAAGAGTATTGTGACGGTAAATTGAAACAAGAGTATTTGTGAGCAAGAACTAGAGTGCATAGTAATTACTCCTATAAAAAATGTTGGGGTACCCATCTCCCTAGGCTCCTCGTGGTTGAGAGTGCCCCATGCCATCTGTTTGCTGGTGCTTGCATCGGGAGCCACTCGGGCACCCTCAGGGTCGTCCGATCTGCCCGGCTGGCTTGGACCCAGGCGACCCTGCTGGAGGGTCCATGACGGGTGGACTGTCCGGTGCGCACCAGGCCACCGTCATAGGCGGCTCCGAATGTGTGAGCGATGTCCCTCTCCCGTGGGAGGCTCCGCGCCGTCTGATCTCTTGGGGCCTCTCCGAGCCGCCTGATCTCCCAGGGCCTCTTCGAGCTGTTCGATCTACCCGGATGGCTTAGACGCTGGCGACCCGGTCGTGCGGTACATGATGGGTGGACCGCGGGGGATCACACGGGGCCACCATCATTGGGCGGTGTCCATGGCGACAGCGAGTGATGGCAGCCGTGTAGTCCTGCGCATGACGGATCTGCCGGGCCCACCTTTTTGGGTGTAAACCTCATGCCTATTTCTGGCTGGCGTGCCGTCAGGTCTTCTTAGGTCTTCTTTGAGTCGTCCGGTCTTCTCGGACGGCTCAGGCAAGGGGGCTCCACGTCGTGTTGGTCCATTCATTACAGGAGGGGTGTGTGTCGCAGTAGCACTGCCAGTTCGCGCATGGGGTAAGGCGACTGGATGTGGAGGGCCTAGTCATGTGGTGTCTTTTTGTCCCGAACAGGGTACTCTGCCCTGGCGAGTCGGCCGCCGAGCGTCGTGTCATTTGGCCATGTGTTGTTCTGTGAGAGCCAGGCACATGCGCTCGCACGGTGCGCCCAGCCGGCTGTGCGGAGGGTTGTTTAGCTCGCTGTGCTGCCTGGGGGTGGCGCTTGCCTGGTCATTCCGACTACATGGCTGTTTGCCTAGCCGGCTGCGCGGAGCGTCGTTCAAGCGGCGGGGCTGCCTTGGGGAGACGCTTTCCTGGGTATCTTGGCTACCGGCCGTCGCCTGGAGGCGTTATGTCGGTTTGCCTTTGTTGTGGCCTTCGTGTGTTTGGGGTGTTTTGGTCCTTTGCTCGAGGCGGTTACATTTTCCTACAAGTTTGTTATTTTACAAGCAATTTGGACCTGACACAGACTTGCAATCCTCTCCGTTCTCTTTGCAGGTCTCGCTTTAGAGGGACTTTGCCCAATGTAGATGGAGATGTTTTTTGCATGTTTAACTTGACCTATGTCGTCGGCGGGAGAAGGCTGGTCCCATGGAAGAGGAGATGGAGCAGTCTGAGCCCATGGAGAACGAGGTAGAGAACGAAAGGCAGATGGAGGAGGAGCCCATGGTTGTGCTTGCATCGATCAAGACACCCGTGCCAAGGTCTAGCATGCTTCGGGAATGCGGCCATAGAGATCTTCGGAGAAAGCTCCGGCAGCCACGCACCTCAGGCGACGTCCCCGGGTGCGGGATCCCAATACCCGCCACCAACAGCACCGCTATAAGGAGCCGCCACCTAGCCCGTCCTCCCCGGCGGAGGGGACGCCACAGTCGCCAAGACCAAAGTTGCTGCTCCGGGGACCATGCGCCACCGACGGGCCACACCCCATGTCAATCCGGCATCGCTACGATGCCACCGAAGCAGCACCGTACTGCCGGGATGAACGACCACAAAAGGAGGATATTGTGTCGCTTGCTCCTGTAGGTAGCTGCGCTATGGCCAAATCCCTGTTGTCCACATCATCGGGGGCACGCGGGCTTACCCGGCGACCGTTTCTGGGGACGACCAGGGGGAGTGAAGGGAGGAGGGGGTAACGGACGGGGGGCTTGGGTTTGGCCCGCAATCGCCCAGGAGGGTATTAAACGAGGGGTTACGGGATAGCTCAACAACCGAGTGTAAGAAGTATCTTTGGATCTTTCTAAATATTTTTCCGTCGTACTAAAAATAGCTCCCATTTAATGTGTTTTCTGATATAAAAGTTATTGGTTTTATTGTTTTTGTTGCTAAGATCTCTATCTAGATTAAGATATGGTAGCGAACCAACCAGTGGTTGGATGGTTTGGAGGATAGTAGTATCCCAAGCCCACCAAGGTTCAAGTTCTAGACTTGAAATTATTGCTCGCATTTTCCTGGATTAATTTCAGACTTTCCAGCGGTGTTTGGTCAGTGGGAGGAAACGTTTCGTTGACTATGAGGTGCCTGTGGTGACTTCGTCAATCTCAGATGTTTTGCCGGATCTGTCTCTCCGATGTGCTCATACGAGTAGGGTTGTGTGCGTGCCTTCATATTGGTGAGTGAATGCTTGTGTATGTGAGCGACTTCCGTTTGTACTGTGTTTTCAAAAAAAAAAGATTAAGATAAGGGAAACTTATCTTTCCTGATTAACTAGAATTCTACATCAGATTTCTGCTTATGTATCATGATTAAGACATAGTCGAGGTGGAGCACTGGGACTACCATATAGGCCTCTAGAAGCACCGGTCCGATATGTGTGTACACAGTTGTTAAATTGCAACCCACTTGTATAGGGATTGCTATCAGCACCTAAGCTGTTGAGACGGAAACATGATTTGTGAAAAAAGATGCCATTTCCCCGTCTTTAAGTTTTTTTAGATGAGTAGACTTGGCCTTTCAGTGTTCTAGCCTGCCATTTTTCTGCTACTGTCCTGTTTGGTGCGCTGATATATATACATGTTCTCTCCAAATGACGGCCAATAACCTCATAGCCTTGAACCGTAATGCAGGGACAAAGGTATCATCCCCACCAATTGACTTCCTAAATAGGATTTGTGTTATTGACCATTAATCCCTTGTTCATCAGTTAATTTTTCTTGACGAGGGTTTCCAAACAATATCGCATATTAGCATGTTTAGATAATTTTGTTCCATCAATGCGAGATAACAGATTTAGTGTGCTGTTTCCAGATTATCCATACTTAGTTACCAGGTTAATTAATTCCGGATTAGTAGATTCGGTTAGCTAATCCCTGTGGAAATGACATTCTGTAATGTTGTAAGCTAGTTTATTATAATCTGCTAACTGAAATGAATATGTGATCTACTTTGGTAGATATCCTGGCAAGGAAACAAAAGCTGAAAATGTATTGTCAATCGGGTTAGCCGTTCTAGAGATCAGTTTGTTTTTGTCTAGTCATCCCTATAATACATTGTGGAGCA